ATTGATAAAAAAAAATTATATTTTTTGCATGCCTTCTGGTAAAATATGGCGGAATCTATACTATATATTTGTCACCCGTAGAGGGTAGTTTATTCTCTCTCTACGTATATCACCCATATTTGCAAAATAAAGAATTCATTCGTTCGTTCATGCATTCATTCTTTGACACTACTCACCATATCAGATTTGAGTCAGATCTATCATATTTGGATGGTTAATAACCCTTGATCGAAAGACACGTGATCTTCTTGACAATTTTCATGAGCGATTTTTTTTTAAATAACCACTTAATGCTGCATGCATAAGCATAAATTATTCTACATAAGCATTCAGAGACAACCTTGAGTATTTAGTTTACTATACATTTCAATGAAGTGTGGTCTAGTCTCAAATTTTGAGAACAAATGAGTGTCCTGAATACCGATCCGAGTGGTTCACGATAGTAGGCGAATGACTTGAATCTATTCTATGCCTTTTGGGTTTCAGTCCGGCATTACTCTGCTGTCACTTAAAGTTAATCTAAGTTACTATTTTGTTTCTAATTTATGTGTGACCGTGTAGTGGCGGTGTACGAATAACCACTACCCCATATCGTCCCGTGGGTGTCGTAAGAGGAGGCAGAGGGAAATTAAAACTGGGCATAATAAAATTGGGCAGCAACGTCTTCTTGATAACAAGTCAAAATTGTAAAAAAACTGCAGTTGCCAACCCGTCTGTTATTAGCCTGTTATTCTATTATTAGATATGGAACCATTTTAAACGTGGTAGAGCCATACTACAGCTATATTATGGTTGTAGCACGAATGGGTTGGCTCGACCGGGGAAGGACCACGCTCTCACAGAATACCAGCGTAAAATAGCAGCTTAACGCTGCTGTGTTTCGTATGGTGAGTGTAGAGAACCGGAGACCTTTTTTACTGGAAACGAGGCATTCCATCTTAGTCCTCACGGGTGACAACGCATCTGCATTTTGATTTGTAATAGAGGATAGATGTAGATGTCTATGGGCCGCAGCAACCACTTAACATCAGGTGGACTGTGTGCTCGTTTGTCACCATATCCTATAAAAAAAAACCTCCTCCTTCTATGTGGAAGAGCTATTTTCAGCAGTAAACTCTTATAGGCTGTAATGGATATAATATGTAGGTATTTTTTCAAATTGTTAAAATGTTCTCAAAATGTCTATTTAAAAAAAAAACAATTTAATTTTATTGAGAATATTATAGTTTACGATTGATTTAATAGGCTCTATATTGTCTAGTGTTGCCCAAAATCGGTCTTGGTCTTGCAGTCTTGGTCTTGTTTTTGCATTTTTGCAAGACCAAGACCAAGAACAAGACCGCTTCTTTTTAGCAAGACCAAGACCAAGACTGACCGTGCAAGATTTGCGCAAGAACAAGACTTAGCTTGCGAGACTCTTGCGTCTTGCAGTTAGGACTAAGTGTCGTTTCAGGGAGTATAGGAAATATAATAAATAAAATAAATAGAAAAATATAATGAAAAAAAAAATTGGAAAATTGGACTTATGCGCATTACGAACAATACCATAAATATATATAGCGAATGAAAATATCCATTAAAAGAAAAAAGAGTGCATCCCTAGTTTTGACCATCGGCACTTTGATAGTGCGCGGCGTCTTGTTGTCGGCGTCATCAAAGGTCGGATACTGACCTGTCAAAGAAATTGTGCAGCTATTTGAAAGTACAAGGTCAAGATACACGTGCCGGCGGCTACTATTGATATCGCATACAATCGTCGCCGCTGCGCCACACGCACTACATTTAACACTGTTTGATTGCCGCCACAGAGTACATGTTTCAAAGAATAGAATAAGTTTCCGGGTGCTCAGAATGGACACGAATACATTATCCTGATCTCGCAAGAAATATTGTAATTAGATAATAGGTAGGTATCATAATAATTTATTCTAGTAACTAATTATTATAAAATTAACTATATGGATTTATAATAATTACTTACTATTATTGTTATTATTATTACCTAAAAGATGAACATGTTCAGTAAGTTCACTGCAAATCTCGAGTTCATTGCAAGTGTGTGTTTTTAAAACACAAAGTGCTCGAATATGTCGTCACACATTTGATAAATATGGTTGAAACCATAGCACTTTTAAAACACTTGAAATGTGTAAAAATGGATCTGGATCTTGTCTTCAAGGCTTAGTTATTAAGGAGTTGGAGGGGTACCTAGGTAAACCCAGAGCCGTCATCTCGGAAGACATTTTAGACTGTTGGAGGACGCATGAGACAAAATATCCGATTTTATCGAAGATGGCCCGTGATTTTCTTTTAATACCTGCAACTTCAGTACCTGCTGAGAGATTATTTTCTAAAGCATCATTAGTAATTAGAAAACATAGAAATAGGTTAGGTGATGAGTCAGCCAGATGGTTACTTTGTATTAATGCTTTGTCAAAAGAATAAATATAAAGTAACAGTAATGTCAAAGCTGTTGTGTACATACTGTGAAGTAATTTAATTGGCATCGTATTTTATTTTTTATTTAAATAAATGGTATATTGTATAACTCTTTTATTCCATTTCATATATGGTGAGGGTCCATCAATCTCTTTCTAGAGAGATAATGTTATTTAAAATACAGTGTAGTTATTGCCATTAATTTGTTTTTATATGTATGTTTAACCATGTTTTAGCACATGTAAGCTTATTAAATGTAAACGTTTATTAAGAAACTGACGCCCGTGGCCGTGGGACACTCAGTTGGTTGGAGCATCGGCACGGATTGCTTAGGTCGTGGGTTCAAACCCCACCCGGTGTCAGTTGATTTTTCGAATTTCTCATTAAATGTTTAGACATTTATTAATATGGTTGGTCTTTACTATGGCTATGTTAATTCAAGCTCAATATGTACCTACTCTGTTAAGTTGTTCTAAGATCTAAAGTAACGTTTAATAAATAGTAATAGGCTAATAGATCATTGCGAGACTTGCGAGACTCTTGCTGCAAGAACAAGACCAAGACCAAGACTCGGAGCGCAATACCAAGACCAAGACCAGGTGTATTGGCGCAAGACCAAGACCAAGACTTGCTAAGTCTCGTCTTGTTCTTGCATTTGGGCAACACTATATTGTCTATGGCAGCACAATGTTGAACCTTGAACGAGAGCAGGTGAAAAATTATATCGCGACAGGTGAAACTTTATTGACCCGATAACCAAAAATAAAAGTAAGGGAAAGTCCATATTTTATTCAACCAGTAGGTACCTATACAGTATGCAATAAGATTCGTAGTTTTTTAAAATGCATTGGCATAAGACAAACCCACTCTATTTTATATGAATAGAGTGGGTTTGTCTTATGCCAATGCATATTAATACATAATACATTCCCTAAATTCCTCCAGTAAACGCAGCACCTAAAATAAAAACCGGGAAAAAGGTTTTAATTCAAAAAAAATTAAATAATAAATAGTTTGGAAAATCCAAAAGTTTATTTCATCAAAATTTCATATAAATTTGATGAAAAAAATAAACTTTTAAGCGTCTATGAGTCTGATAGCAACCAGCAATAGGGATCACCCTGGGGATAAATGGAAACTTATTCAGAAAGATTTATTTCATTTCGTTGCGTATATTTTTCTGAAACGTGTAGACGTGCACAGACTAACTGATAACAATACTAATTATTTTTTAACTACACTACACTTTTTTTATTTTATATTGCAAAATCGTCACATAGCGGCATGTCGAGAGTAGAGCGCTCCCACATGCTCGCGCGTTGTGAGGCGTGTAATGATAATCCCTTCTTAAACGATATTATTATAACCACTGTTATAATGTCCTCCAGGACAAATTTTTGGTCACGGCGGTCATTCTCATCGAAGACTAGGCATCTACAGGACAGGATTATAGTGCCCGAATGTATGCGCAAGCACAGATGCACTCTCTATTCCCCACTCACATAGTGCGATGGAACGGCATTCCGACACGACTGCAGAGAAATCAGGCGAAGAACCAACGGATTTACGTGCTTACCGAGGCACTGAGATGAAACACAACTTCCTGAGTTCGGGCTGCTAATGAGAATTTCTTCACAGAAAAACCCAATATTCAATTTTGGTCCGACTCGGGATTCTAACACGGGACATGTTGATAGGTGACGTTGTAATCAACTTATTAACATATACTGTAATTTTTTACTCATTACAGTCAATCAAAAGTCCACTGCTAAACATATTCCACCAAAATCCTGTCCTGCGCAGATTGCTTTTTAAGTCAGTCATTATTACAGAAAGATTTTAAGTCAAGCGAATAGCTACTGTAGTAAACCTACACATAGGTACCACTCCGCTTAAGTTCAGACTGAAAATCCGTGCCGTAACAAGGGAGGAGCCGGGGTCATGGCTTCGGGCGGCATATTTAAGGGGACAGCAAAATAGAGTTAATCCGTGTAAGGCATCATAATGTAGCTGCAGCGTGACTCTACCACGTATATCTATTTATATTAATTTAAATTAAAAAATAATTATTTATTTAAATTAAATTGTTTAGAAATTTTATGCATATAATGCAATGACCAAAGTAAATAAATTTTAGAATATGAGGGGAAAATACAAAATGGTTATTTTACTATGTACTTATTTCATTACTTTTTAATGCCATCTAACAAATAAATAACGAAGTATCACATCATGATAGAAATAACGAACAGTGTCAGTGACATCTGTTGGAAAAATATAACATTTATTTCACTTTTCGAATTGCCATAAGCAAAATATACATTTATTCTACAATTTTTAATAACGATTCAAGGTAATGCATGAATGACAATGCATAATTGAAAAGAATAAACCTTTTCGGTGAATTCAGTACAATATCAACAAAAACAAAATCAATAATTGATTAAGCGACAATACTAGAAAGTAGGCAATTAAAACGTAGTGACTCTTTGGTAACAATTTTAATTAAACAATATTACATTTATACATTGTTTGCTTGCAACATTAGAGCAAAATCAAATATGGCGCGTGTTAACATGTCATCGCGATTGTTAAATTTTTTCCTTTATTTCTGTTTAATATTATGCTGCTTTTCAAGTTATGTGAGTGCAACTCGTGAATTAAATGAAGATAATTGGAGAGAAATCCTTAAAGGAGAATGGATGGTAGAATTGTGAGTTATATGACGATAAGGTCCTACCGGCACTTCGCCGTACTTCAAAAACGTGTCATTCTTTTTATGTCTAAAGCTTTTAATTTTTCTAACGAAATATAGATTATTTATTATCACAGTATTTTTATGACATATTTTTAAATATATTTACTATACATAATTGCTTGCATCAGGGATTGTAGGATCCGCCTTGGGTTCAATAACCATTACAAGGCCGCTAGGGTCTAAAAGAACCGTTTTGAAACTATGACGCATTCTCCTATTGTGGTCTTAGTTGTAAATAAGCAATTTATTTCGAGTAGCTATTGCTGTGAGATAATAAATTGATCCATTTTTTTATGACTTCGTGCAGCTTTATTTGTTTAACTGCGTAGAAAACATGCTTTTTTAGAAGAAGGATCGATCTATTAGGTGCATGTTTATCTGTTTCCTAATAACCTCCTGCTCCTCCTACTGTAGTCTAAACGGCTTAACGGAATTGAAACGGCGGTGTGTCGTTATATTTGTCTTCTTGCAGTATCATAGTTTCATATGCTACATTTTATGATAATAACACCAATATGACGCTCGCAAAACTTACGATACTTGCTTGAAGTGCATCTGATCAGCTTACATTTTATTAAAAATACATAATTGCAGTTGGATTCTTTATTTTTAATTTTTAATAATAATATAACAGTTGACTTCAATTAGTATTTTTCCTCTTCACCTAAAGAAAATCTGAATGAATAATATTTATTGATAGATGCAGAATGCTTAACTTTACACGTTTAGTTAAAACTTTGTTTAAGCTCCTCAGACCCGAGACCACTTTGTGTTTGGTAATGAAATAAAATTTTAAACGCAGACTTATAGACCCCTAAATGATAAAAAAAAATATTTAAAAAAATTATAAGTTATTAGTTTTTTATTAATTGTACGTCTCCTATACAAGACTCTGGGTTTTAACATGTCAATTTTCTAATACTGTAATCAAAACGAAAAAATATGAATTAAAACGTTTATTTAAACAAAAACGTTACAGTTACTTAGACAGATTCATGATAGCGTTTGTAGCAATTTCGTCCTACTACAAGGCATAAATGCATGTTACAGGTAGAGCAAAACACTCTAGCTTTCTTGCTTTTACATCCTGGCATTCGGCATCTGTGATTGTCATTTTGTTCATCAATCAATGGCAAATGACCAGCCATGGCTGTCCTCAGTTGAACTGGAGGTTGAGGTATACATTTTCTTTTACGGCTCCAAGGTTGTGCTTCTTCTGTTGAGTCGTCTGAATCTACTTCATGAATTATGTGTATCTGTTCCCTCGCTGGTGTAAAATAAAGTAATGAATTTGCAATTTGCACTTTGAACTCCAAGTAGTCCAAAATGTTTTTTTTAGGGCATTCTAACAATTTAGCTTCATTCCTGTATACAAGCCATCCAGCAGCTGCCGCAAAGTCAAAGAAGTGGAAAATCAGACGAACAGTCCATTTTTTGGAACATGCTCTAATTCTGTAAAAACTGATGACCCTGTCCAACATATCTACACCGACCATCATGGTATTATATTGCTCTATTGCAAATGGTCTGTCAATTTGGATATACTGTTTAGTTTTTTTACACCAACGTCTGCATTTGTTGATGGGTTCTTTGGAATCAACAGATGATACCATTATTACTGGTTTGTTATCAAACCACTTTAGACATGCCACATTACCGTCACTGCGAACGAGTTGATCCGAAGAACCACGTCCTTGTTTTCTCAACTCATTGTCAGTTTTGAAATTGCAGTTTTTAGGTATGTTTGCCTTTCTAAGAGTACCTGTTGCCTGCATCTTCTTTGAACGTAATTTGTCCAGTAAATCCAATAATGTAAAGTATCTGTCCATGTATAACTTAACTCCTTCAGGCAAAGTTTCAGATAACTTCAGCACAACTTTTCCGCCAATATCAAGACCTTCAGCTTCATTGGTTGTGAGTATTGTATCTCCTTTGCCCTCATACATGAAGAAGTCTAAAGGCACACCATCTGGAGTAGTGCACACGAAGTTTTTTAAACGACAGGGGTTTGGTTTTCCTCTTATGAACTGCCGCATTGATACTTGACCCCAAAAGGGTATCATCTGCTCATCTACACTAATATGTTGAGATCTGGGAGTTTCTAGGCAAGCTTTTCTCACAGTTTTGATCAAAGGGTTAACTTTCCAGAATTTATTTTGCTCGGATGCTTCATCCACCTCAAGATCATTTACAAGTTTCAAATTTGTCCGAATTTTAAAATAACGGTCTCTAGTCATGCGGTCTGCTATCATTGCAACCCTTGTCCTGTTTGCCCAATACATTCTAATCCTTGGCAAGCCCAAATAACTCATAGCTATAGATATGCCAAAAAACAATTTAATTTCTTCCTTAGTTGTGTTCAGATTTTGACCTTTCTTCAATAAGTATGTCTGGTTTGAATAATTACTTATTATTTCAAACATTACTTCAGGAATATATCTCAAAAAATATTCAATTGGTTCTTGTAACAAATTAACGCGACTTGCAGCTAAAGGTTGACAGTACATGCCTGGTGGATATGGAGTGAAATCATTTTCATGCTTGAAATATAGTCGACGACTTGAAGTCTGACGAGCAGCAACAGCAGCCAATGGTACGTCATCATCGCTCGAGTCGTCGTTTGAACCTTCATCCTCCAGCTCTTCCAGGCGTGGTTCAAGATCTTGACTGCCTTCGAAGTCATCGTCAGAAAGGCCTTCAACGGTAGAATCATTGCCATCAAACTCTAAAATTCTTGCTATGTCGCTATCCGTCATATGGACTGCAATACAAAACAAGTAAATGAATAAAACGATCGGATGAAAACAATTAAAATACCTATAAAAATATTAAGTCTGAAACCCCATGTCCCCTCTACGGGACAATCATGTACTTGACGCGATACTCGGTAAAATATTTGCGGAAATTTGAAAGCAATATCTTATTTTTATCTTACATACTTTAAAAATGAACAAATACATTCGTTTTTAAACTAAAATGCGTTAATTTTAACAAAATCAATTAAAAACTTACCTTGGGCAGCCATTTTTTGCAGAAATTTTCAACCACTAACTTCAAGCTGTCAAAAGTTTACAAAAATGAGCGCCAAACATGGTTATTTTTTTTTTCAATAAGTGACATCTACATTGAAATAAATGTACTAATAATTAGGAAGTTACACTTTGATAGGCGCTGGAGGGCAGTACTAGAAAAAAGGTCTCGTATAGGGGACGTCAGGTCCTAGGAGGTTAATGTGAGGTCTTATCCCCAAAAATAACAATACTTGGATGGGCAGGATTGTATTATGACATTAACATTACACACTAAGTGTGTTCCGATATACACTGAGAGTATTGCTCAGTGCTCCCACTGGTGAAAAATTTGTTCCGTTATGGACTGCCAGTATACTGCCGCAGTACTCTAGGGAAATATAGGATGTCATAAATCACCACCATTTTTGTATTGTGAGCACTGGTGCTTTCGAGGTAAGATGTTCTTAGTACTTTGATCACATGATCAAAAAACAACTGTGCCTAGAGATTTAACAGCTTCCATAAGTTATTATTATTAATTAATATAGTTATTCAAATAAACTCAGACATTAAGTTTTAAAAGCAACAACATTCAAATAATAATTTTTCTTGTTGAACATAAAATGTGTACATGATAAATATTTTCATTTGAAAACAGTGTCATCAAATGTGAATGACAGTATACTGAACTGCATTCCATTTTAAACAGTAGCTGGTTTAGCAAACTAAAAAGGAATGGCTTCACAGTATACTGAATTGATGTCACACCTTACAGTGGTCATAGTGTATATTGGAACACACTACATCTACAACAATATACAAAGGCTAAATTTTATAAAAAAATGTAAATTCTAATTACATGAATCAAAACTAAATTCAAAGTAACACATTCCTTATGAAAGGAAGGATATTTCTTTACAAGTATTTTAAATGATAAGGATTCAATGTGTCATATTCATAAATGTAGAGAACTCCACGTACAAAAACTTAATCAGTAAATGGTTTGTCCAGATATTACTTTAGTGTACGGGATTTTCCAATTTAAAATCTTTTGGTGATCTTAAAGCATGTAAGTTTGAATCATGAAGGAAAATAAAACATTCCTTAAGATACACGGTATGTGAGGGATTAAATATCAATGAAGAGATAAGTATTTATTTCAGGGGTTCCCAAACTTTTTCAGTTTGCAGCACACTTACAGATTTAGCATTCTGTCTCAGCTAACCGTGGCACCTAATGGTCCGAGAGCTCATGACGCATTTTTCATGAAGTGTTTGATGCATCATGAAACTTTGTTTAAAGGTATCAGTCGACTCAATAAGCAGGTATATGACTGTCTGCCTGGCCTACCTGGGTACACCTGGTACTGCGCATACAGTTAAGTCGAAAAAAAATTTGCCCAAAAAAAAGTGTTTGATTCAAATAATAATAATGACTATCCGTTAGCTAAGTTTATAAACAATTAAGAAAAAAAATGGCAGACACTTCTGAAGGGGTTTACATAGGGGCAGACGACCACAAAGTTGTATTTTCAAAAATTCCAAAAAAAGTGTTTGATTCAGTCTGCCATTTTTACAGCGTGTTTATTATGTATAATAAAATATTCTCACAAAAAGGCAGACAGTTTCTCCGGGGGTTACTAATTTAAAAATCTATACAAATAAATAATCACTTTTTAAATGGTCCATATTTCCTATCATAATAATTAATACATCTGTATCACATGATTTGATAAGTACATTGACAGCAGAATCCGATTCCAATTGACAAACATGAAAATAATTATACTTTTTTAAGATTATTTAAATAGCTGCTGATAAAATAAAAAGCTGTTCCCCGCGACTTCGCCCGCATGTAATTTAGGGTTTTATTTTTTTTGCGCGGTACCCTAATAATTTTTTTTAAATTTAAAAGCAGCCTAAAATACTCGTTATAACATCAATT